TTCGAGTCGATAAATCGATTTTGACCCAGAAAACTTGTTACGCGTTGAAAATTTTTGTCATTAATTGCCTTTGGGAACTACCTGTTTGACTGTTTGAACACGGTCACTTCAATAGAAAAAGTAAAACTAATGAGAAAAGATCGTGTCTTTGGAATCTTTGGAAAACTCACTGCCACCATTTGAACACGGTTTTGTAGTCGTGTAACGCCTGACTCAAAGGCATACGTAGAGCCGCGGAGGAAGCCGCAGATGAGGAACCTCCAGTACCAGACGCGGAAGCTACTCCTGGAGTCGAGGAACCGGAGCTGGATTGTCCGGGGCTGGTGTACGCAGATCCCGTCATCGACGGACCCAGGCAAGGACCGCACAACACGTGACCACAGTACTGAGCTAGAAGGCTGTTTCCTTCCGTGATCTCAACAGCGCGATGAGCAATCTAACGGGAGAACGAATTACAACAGAAGTAGTTACTTTTAGTGCACACACACTTATGTGATAAACAGCAAAAGGGGCGGACCCCATAGTCTCGAATACGTGCTGATGGGTTATGAAAACCGGAAACCCAAGTCCCGGGGACTTGGAGTGGTGAACCACACAAGGGCCCGACAGGTTAGGCGTGGTATTAAACCGGACGACAGCAAAGCTGCCCACCGTCAAAGCTGGGTCGCGGGGCTCGAACCCCGGCACATATGGTCTAAAGCGCGCCCACAACTAAACCACTGCGCCAACACCACCCTAAGTACTGCATTGAGAATATAACCTCGATTGGTGATGAAACGTTTGCAATATAATTGCCAAATTTGGCGAACAACTGAACATCATATATATATATATATATATATATATGAGCTCTTACAACCATTAACCATGCACTTTTGTGCGGCAGTTTTAGTAACGGTCCTTTGGTTGCACAGTTGAATAAGAAACAGGGGGTTGGAACGTCGAGAGCAGAACCAAAGTGAAAATGGAAAACTTGGGTAGATTAAGGTTGCAGGGATAATGAGAAGATGCACTAACGCCACCGTTTCTGACACTCAACCACATCCCTAAATATCTTTAACCATCGGTTAAAATGATCCCAAGGTGACCATTCAAGGGGACTGAACACGACCTACAATAACGAATCTCCTGATCGGGGTTTTCATATCCTTGTGCCAGGTCTCGGTTTGGTCACCGTTCACTTTTAAAAGCCTAGCTAGACAGATGGTCCTTAATAGTACAGGTCATATAAATGAAGCGTACACCACTGACCAAACTGTATGTCGTTTCCTTCAGGAGGAGGTGGGTGGTATTTGAAGTAGAGGAAGACGATATTATGGATGAGTAAAAGCTGGATTGATATCTCGAGGAAGATCCACATCTTTGAATCTGTTGGGGTCCGCTTAGTTTCGTGTGCTCTATTTACACCAGATAAAGACAATTGGAGTGCTTCAAACAAGGGCCGTTGTGAACACAATCCGTGTTTAATAGAGGCGTTTCGTCCCCTCTACTTGGTTCGCACCCGCCGATTCGAGAGGATTAGGAGTGGCATTTCAGCCATAGCGGAAGCAATCGGAATCCACCAACATAATCCCCCCTCCCTCTTATGCTCCCAAAAACAATTCGTAATAACACTCGGTCTTCCATGGCCAACACCACACACGACACAGCCATCCCCTCCACTCACCCCTAATGACAAAAACAAGTGCGCATGTGTGTGTAAGTGATATCCTGTCATGTAACTGGAATGGTATTCATCTTTTTCCAACTTGTCTTGATCTCTCCCCCCTGCCAAAAAGATTAATATAAATTGTGACGTATTAGCCTGTAGAAGAATCACCGCAAACGAGCTTGTTCGCTACTTTGTGTTTTCTCACAAACGGCTATAGCTGGATTCTGTTATGAATAAATTCTATAGTCGTACTGCTCATGATCGAGTGAGAGCGTGCGTGGGGGAATACAACATTACAGCCGTTCTGCGTGTCGAACCAGTGATCTTTTTCAAACAGATGATTTAGGATCAAGTTGGATTTCGAGATCAGCCCATTTACATCGAATCTCACTAACAGCTTCGGACAGCTGTGAGAACGAGGTAAGTTGCACTGATGACACAAAGCATACTTATCTGCATCTGCACAACTACTGTATACCACATAAATGGTAGAAAAGGTCATTTCACTTACCTGTAGCAGCGGCACATGTTGGCTGGTGGTGATCAGTGGCATTCTTCGCCATTCTCGCAACACAGCAGACATGATCCGGTGACTTTCGGTCTCAGAAGCCTGAATAATGCTCACCACATTGTTAACTGCAGTGTTCGGTACCGCTGTTGATGAACCGGAACCAGCGATTGGGGAACCAGATGTTGCAGGCACAACCCCTCCNCAGATACAACAGTGGACTGATTTGATCCAGCAGGCCCACCACTGCCAGCACCACCGGCAGACGCACTACCCGATTCGCCAACCGAACCAGTTCCGTAAGGATCGGAATCGGCCGAGGAAGAAATAGAGGATGACGCAGAGGCTTGAGCAGCAGCAACGGCAGCCGCGAACCCAGAAATTGTGCGNCCCAGAACTTGTGCGTCTGCCAGCAACACAAGCCGCACCCTGGATAAGGGCGTAACGACACAGGTCACCACGAGATGCTTCGCTAGCCAACTAAAGTCAATGAGTATATAAAGAAGATTGCATAAGTCACCTGTGAGATGACGGTCTTGTGAACCGGAAGGATAATTGCATTTGTTTAAAAAGATTTAAAATTTATAAATATTCGAAAGTTAAATGGTTTGAGATATCGGCAACAACGAAAACAAAACAATACCTCTAACAAACAAGCGAGCATGTGAAATAGAATCAGATGAAAACTATTTCGTTCTACCGCATGTGAGTTTGAAATCATTTACGTTTCTTTGACGACATTGTTTATTACACTGAACACAGAGGCTTCCAGTTGGAGGCATTCGACATCTCTCACGTCCCAACCCAGGAGTCAATACTGCCCTAAACGCGCCAGATTTTTCAATTACTAAATCCTTCGGCGAGATGCTGGCATCACTTTATGCCTCAGTGTACACCCCAGACTCCAGCACACTAGCACATCTACTGGACGCTGACACTGCGCTGAACTGGACCCCATTTACAATCGAAGAGGTGGCCCTGGAGCTGCGTCGACTAAAGATTCACCAGTCACTGGACCTGATGGTGTGCATCCGCAGATCCTGAAGGAGCTGGCAGATGAACTCGCAGCGTCACTGTGCAACCTGTTCAATTTGTTATTCACTCAAGGGCGTTTACCGCGGCAGTGGAACGACGCTGTCATTATTCCACTGCCTAAAGTGGGGGATAGGAGTGACCCTAGAAACTACCGACCAGTCAGCTTTACTAGCGTTGTGGGTAATATAATGGAGCGACTGGTGGCTGCACGGCTTCGGCAGCGTTTGGTGTGCCACGGTCACCTGTGCCACCAACAACACGGTTTCCGGCCGGGTCGCTCATGCCTCTCAAATCTGCTACTTGTACGTGAATGCTGGACTGAGGACAACGCCAAAGGACACGAAACGGACATCATTAAGGCCTTCGACAAGGTGCCGCACGACCTCCTTCTACGAAAGCTGTCTAACCTAGGCGTAGGTGTGGTAATGCAGAATTGGCTGCGAGACATTCTCATCGATCGGAAATTCCGCGTCCGTGTTGGCAAATCGCTCTCTGCGTGGTATTCCGCTCCCAGTGGGGTCCCCCAAAGCTCGGTTCTTGGTCCATTGCTCTTTGTGGTATATGTGAATGACCTGCCCAGTCAACTGTGCAGCCCATCCCCCATGTATGCGGACGACATCAAAATCTGGCGTACAATCAAGGATCCGAATAATCGAAGTTCTTTTCAAGCGGATTTCAGCAACCTGGTGCAGTGGGCGGATACCTGATCTTTTTTAGTCAATACAGTAAAGTGTGCTCACCTGCACTTGGAGCATGCTGACTCAGAGGTAGTCTACAACTTCCAGGGACCACGTTGCGCAGAACATCGTGCGGACGAGATCTGGGAGTTATGGTTACGTCATCACTAAAGACCCGAGAAAACACCGATCAAGTCTGTGCTAGCGTATGGAGCATTCTGGGGCCTATTCGGCGGTCTTTCAACCAGCTCACGATGGACGCTTTCAGGCTGCTGTACGCTTCCCATGTTAGGCCAAGACTTGAGTATGATGGTGTGGTGACATACCCCTGCACGGCCGGTGAAGTTGGAGCGTGTACAACG